GCTGCGGTCGCCGGCGGTGACGGCTGCCCCCGCGGCCCGCAGGGCTGAGCACGGAGAAGGCCGCCGCCTTCACCCGGCGGCTGCGGGCCGAGCCCCAGTTCCTGCTGGCCCAGAACGTGGCGACGTGCAGCGACCCGCTGGAGGTGTGTCTGCAGCGGCAAGTGGTGCAGGACACGGTGCAGGTCTTCCAGCACGCCGTGCCCGCCGAGGGGAAGCCGGTCACCAACCAGAAAAACTCTGGTAAGGGGCTCCCCGGTTGCCGGGGCGGGGGGGGTCGGTGTTCGCGGTAGGGAGGGGCCCGCTCCCTCGGCGGCTTTGGCGTTTGGGGGGTGATTGATGTAATGCTGATGCACTCCCGGGAGCGATGGCCACCTCGGAAGCCTTTTGTTAGGCTTTGGAGCAAAATAACATCCCTGCAGCATCTTCTTGAGTTAATAACAGTCTTTAGACTTGCAGTGTTTATCTCTTTTCCCTTCTGTGTAGTAGAAGATAAAATCAATTGAGACAACTGCATTTGCAGTAAGATTTCTGAACTTCTTACAAGCTTTTTGGTGTTTTGCAATCCCAGGCAGAGCAGTGGGCCAAAGTCTTGAGGCAGAACTGTCATGAATCATGACTTAAAAAAAAAAAAGTCTTACACAGCTCTTGAGTACACAAATTCCAGTTTAATTCTTGTTCCTTTGATCTCTCAGGGAGATGTTGGATCTTTTCCTGTCTCAATGCAATGCGTCTTCCTTTCATGAAGAAATACAACATCGAGGAGTTTGAATTCAGCCAGTCGTATCTCTTTTTCTGGGATAAGGTACAGTAGAACAGATCACAGGTTGTGCTAGGACAGCTTATGCAATCAGGTATTAGTATTGGGACAGAATTTTTTTAGGCTGGACTAATTTAACAATCCAGGCAGAAAACATACATGAGAAGAATCTTCAAAAGTTCTTTAAATATGTATTTTAAATGCAGGTCAAGCAAAGTAGGACTTTGGCTTGAGAAGAAAGTTGTGAAGGTGTTAGTGGTTTGGAATAGTAAAAGTCTTCTTTCAAATGTTGCATCTGTTTCAAGTTATTTGTAGGAGACTCAGGGGAAACATGATTAACTTTGAGCTTTCAGTCATGCTTGTGACCTACTGATCTGCAAGTTAAGTGTCTGCTTTTTTTCCCCCTAAGGGAAATAGAGGAAACCTAGTGCTAGTTTGGGCCAGGCTTGATTGTGTAACTTCTGTTTCGTGTTTCACGTTTTCTGTTCTGCTATCCTCTGTGCTAACTCATCCCTAAATATTTGGTCTGTGACAGAAGTAAATTTTTAGGATAAGCCTTGCAATGCTAAAGGGAAAATAAGAACTTACATGGATGAACAGAAGGTAGCTTCATCTAGTTAGGACTTCGGAAGAACAGAATACTCAGGAATGAATTAATGCACGATGTCACACTTAAAATATCTGTTTTGCCTGCCTGTCTGTTCCAGGTTGAACGCTGTTACTACTTTTTAAATGCCTTTGTGGAAACAGCTCAGAAAAAGGAGCCTGTGGAAGGAAGACTGATACAGTTCCTGCTCTCCAACCCCACGAATGATGGTGGACAGTGGGATATGTTGGTTAACATTATTGGTAAGAGAATTGGTCACTAAGAGCACTTCTTGAAACTGCAGGCTGATTTGAGAGATGAGGAATGAAACAGAAGAAGAAATTCAGTTGACACCTGGGAGTTTGCTAAGGAGCATGATGCCATTAGCCACTACCTGTTTTAATCAAAGACCTTTTCATACCAGTTTGTAAATGTTACGCTTAAATCTTGTCTGGGATCTTCACTCTTGCATATTGCTGATGATGATAGAAGCTCAGAAGATCAACAAACGTAATTAGATGTTCCAGACTTTACATTTAGTAAAAAGGTTCAACCCCTTTTTACTTTAGTCATCACCTCAGCATCATTTATCTCTATCCATGTATACAGTTTTTAGGGCACACAGTAAGGAAAAAAACATTGCTAGACTAGGGTGTGTCTGCAAGGCAGAAGCAAAACTGCTTCACGTTGCAGCCTGAAGAAAGATGGTTGTAAAGATCAGTGAGAGGGAAATGATGTGGAATGTGGCAATGCTGGTCTTACAAAGATCCAGCCTAAGTGGGATCTTCCTTACACTGATGAAGGAGATACTTTTCAGTGTCTGAATTAAAACTGCTATTTGCTTTCATTTGTATTGTGAAACAATGTGACACCTTTGTAAGTCAACAAGCCAATAATATAAGCTTAGAATCACAAAAGGAATTTGTTTGTTTGAAGCCTTGAGGTTACATTTTCCCATCCAATTGTTATACATACTTAATCAGGGCAGAGGAGATTTTGGCTGCTGCTGTTACATCCAGGCCTTGCATGGTGTGATCTTTGATTAATACCTTAATGTAGGAAGCAATTGAGTTGTTGCTGGTGTTTTATTAATGTTGAGGAGGAAAGGCAACTGGGATGTTAGTCACTTAACCTTAGATAACATACATGGAATAATTCATAAGAGGCCCTGTTCTTTAGAAGATATTTCAGTAGCTTAATTTTCAAGTAATCAGGTGTATTCTGGTGAAAAGATAGTCTTTAAAAGCCCTAATTAGTTTAGAATTCTGTTGAATTAAATGATACTGAGCAGTTCAGGGGTTCCACCTTTTGGGACTCCTGTGGAATGCAGAGCAGAGGTCAAGATTCAGTCACAAATTAAAATGTAATCTTGAATACTTGTAACTTTAAGAGACTTTCCCTTATCTCTGCACAAAAAAACAACTATTTTTTTTTACATGGGTGTAAGTGGAAGCACTAGCACCCGCTTTGTGGAAAAGACAATTGTTAACCCATACTTTTATTATTTGCTTTTAGAAAAGTATGGTGTTGTCCCCAAGAAATACTTCCCTGAGTCTCATACCACAGAAGCTACTAGAAGGATGAATGAGATCTTGAACCATAAGGTAAATTGATATACATGATATAATTAAGGAGAGGGGATGGGAATGAACCTGCTCCAAGTGTTTCTAGCCACCTTAATTTCTCTTTATTGACCAAAGTATTAAGTGCATTTTTTATTCAGAAAAGTACATTTTTTTATTCAAAAAGCAGCCTAAAGCCTCAGTAAAGTCTTCTGTTAATCCCGAAACATGGAGTGGGAAGGTATATCTGTGGAAGATGGCCATTGCCAGGCTTCAGTAGCTTGAAACTACATGGCTTCAGTAGCAATTGTTTCTAATCCTCAAATTTCAAAAAGTTAATTTTTGATATGTAGCTGATGAAGTCTGTTTCTGCAAAACTAGCACTTGGCCTCTAGGTGACGTCTTTCCACCCCCTCAGTATTTCATCTACCAGTATGCCAAGGTTTCTAGAGATTACTGCCAAATTTGATGGAAAAGATAAAAATATATTTTCAAAACACTGAATCTTAAATCAGCTTTCAGTATAGAAGCGTGTAGCTTTGTCTGAAGGAAGGTGTAAGCTTGCTCCCTGAACTAAGAAATTAATTAATCTAGTAAGATGCTAGTGTAGGTAGCTAGATATAAAGGCAATTAAAGCATTTTTTTTACAGTGAGCTTTGATTTTTTTTTTTTTTTCCCCCGAGTTCCTACACTACATGCTCAGGGAAAACTGCCTGATGAAATCCGCATTAAAAATGTAAAATATGTGCTGGAATGAGCTTAGACATTATGAATGGTGTTAATGTTATTTTAGTCTCAAACATCGCGAAACAGCTGGGCTTGAGGGAGCCCCACTCACTGTTCCTGGCCTTATGGATGGTGACAGTAATGGGAAGCATGTGCTACTCTTACTGCAAATCTGCATGCAGTAGGGAAATGCTCCATTCCTTTTATCAACCAGGAGATCAATTATGCATTAGAATTGCAAAATAATTTTACAGTATGAAGACAGTTTGTTCTGAGTCACAGAGGTGGTGATGTATATGGCTGTTGCAGCATCAGTTGTGGAGCAGAGAGAAATGGCTGTAAGCTTCAAATGGTTGGAAAATAGTAATTGAGTTACAACTACTTGTTAATTTCAGATTTTTTTTTTGGTGAACTTTTTTCAATCATTCAATTGATATTTTTTTAAAGAATCTTCATCTAATAAAGCCTTCTGAAAGGGATTTTGTTTTCATGTGTAAAATATAGGTGCTTGAAACAGTTTTCAGGATTTCCTATCTGGTTAGGTGGCAGCTTCCATACCCTTATAATAAAATGACTTTCTCTGTAAACAGATGAGAGAATATTGTTTGCGGCTAAGAAATATGGTGGAAAGTGGAACAATGAAAGGAGAACTTTGTGCTGCAATGGATACGATGATAGAAGAGGTAAATACACCTGTGGCATGAATCCTCTTGGCGCACAAGGCTAGAATGGATGAGATTTCTTGCTTACTCTTATTCTATAGCTATTGCATCAGCCAAAACAAGTGGCCTTTGTTTTCCTGACTAGGAATGTGTTGTCTGGCAGTGCACTTGAAGGTATTTGAATTTTAAGTGTGTATTATTCCTTATCTCATTCTGACTTTTCTAATACTTCCAGGGAAATATTTGAACTTAGAAATTCCAGAACTATGACATTTTTAGAGACATTTGCCCCTTTCTTTAGGAAAGCAGCATTTTGTATCTTGAGATATCAAAATAAGATCCTACCAGGCTTTTATAAGAAGCAGGAAAGAGTCCGGTTGAAAAATTGCCATTCTGATGGCTTTGAGTGCAAAATCTCACACCTCAAGTGTTGTTACAGAAATTCCCCACAAGAGAGCAGAAAAGAACAACAAAAGGGGAGTTCTCTGCACTATGGAAAAGATGTTTGCTGAACACAAGGCTGAATCCAGCTGTGGTCTGATACTGTGGCAGCAGAGGAGGGAATCGCAGCATCTGTTTGTGTGAATTAACTCGGAGTAGCAGTGTGTAGTGTGGGTGTGGCTGACCCTCCCGCTGGTCACACTGAATGAGTGACACATGTCATTTTTTTCTCATTCGGCAGTTCTCATACTTGATTCTTAAATAGCCAAAACCAGTGTTTAAAGTTCAGGATGCTTTAGTTTGACCAGGTGTATGCATTTTGTTTGGAAAAAAAATTTCATTTGTTTCTCAAACAAAGTAACCCAGTGATCTTAATGTCTGTCTTCAGATGACTTAAGAAATCAAATGTTTTGGATGTCTGTTAGTTTTTCTGCAGTCCAGTAAACATCAGTATTAGAACCTGTCTCGGGCTATTTCTGTAAAGCATCAGCAGTGCCATTAATATCCAGGAATGAATGTGTTGGTTTGGTTGTGGAAATGCGTCTTTGCACTTCATGTAAAAACCTGTAGCTTTTAATCTAATTTTAAGGTTAGATTAAAAAACTGATTTGTGTTCCTTGCATTATATTATTGAAATTAAAACTTTTGTGAAATGTATGCCTTAAGATCAACAGTAATTGTGTGCTTTGAGCCTACCCCAGTATGTTGCCAATCAGCACTTAGTTCAAAAGTTAATTAATGTAACTTACATCCAGTGTGTGTGTCCAAAAGCCCTTGGAGGATTTTACAGCAGACATCAAAAGCTTCTTACTGGTAGGGCAATGACATAGTGCACTGCAAAATGTCTCTCTATTTGTTTAGAGCCTCTTGCCCTCTGACCAGGGATCCTGGAACCAGCATTAAAGGCTCATTAACTGATTGCAATTTGTCTGTTCTGTAGAAAGGGTGTGCTTAATTCTCTGAAGTTAACACAGGGTTTCCTCTTGTGGCAGTAATGGTTTGCAACTTAAGTGGATCTACTTTCATCAAACATTATAGTTGAAATGTGCAATTGCACCTCTCTTGGATACTTTAAAGAGGCTTAATTTCAAAGGTCTGAGACCACTCTTATTTCTTGTGTTTGTGTGTATTAAGTGGCATTGCATCTGTCTTTGTATGTGGCAAAGCAGGACTTGGTTTTGTTCTGTGAAGTTTTATTTGCATATCAAATCTTGGTTCACTCATGCTGGGAGGCAGTGCTCTAGCTAAAATGGGGCAGTTGTACTGGAACACAAGATTAAATACTCACTCCAGAACTGTATAAACATTCTTCTTATCAAACCAGTGCACAGCAGGTCAGAAGTTGAAATCAGTGCAGTGCATGTGATTGAATTTTTCTTCCTTTACTGTTCTCCTTTGTAGACTCTTCTTTATCAGGAGTGTCCTTCCCCCTCCTCATTAGTTTTGTTTTTTAGCATAAGCCTCTATTTTTGCCTTATCTCAGTTCTAGTTGTCACTAGAGTGATATAAGTCACCTTTTAGTTTAAATACGTCTGCTTATTTTATTTATTGATGGAGGAAGCTTCTGAGATACTAAGAGATGGCCTGTGATGGGTGTGGTGGCAAAACAATTGAGGGAGGCTCTTCCCAGGCTCCACTGCCTCTGTTAACTTGAGACTTCTGTCTCCACCATTTTCCTTTGGCTAGAGCCTGTTTGCTTGTTGCTCTTCTTTTTAGGTGTTTTTATTTTGTTTTCATAGCCTCATCTCTCACCGCTTGGGGTTGTCTGAGGTTATGTGGGTGTATCCACAGCAAATGCTACCTTTTGTGCAGTCTGTACGAAATTAAATATTTATAGTAGTTTAGGGATTGACATTTGTTCTTTAACATATTTATTGAGAAATAAATGTGCGAGTTCCTCCAATAAAAACATTAAGCCACAGCCTTGTTTCGACCCATAATTAATCTCTTTCACTGGTCTTCTTAAATTGCTTGGATCAAGACCACCTTTATTTTGTGCACAACCAAATAATGTTACTTGGCATGAACACTGATCGCACTTTTTGCCACCAGCACAAAGTGCCCACTAGCACAAAGCTAGTTCTTGCAGAGCCTTAAGATCCATGTAAATCAGCCCAACTAGCTCCGGAAAGAGTGTTAGCTTTGGGAAAGGTATTGTCTCCTCTCCTGTGAAAAGTCAGCGAGAGGAAGGTGTCAAGACTGACAGCCTAGGAAAGCTGGCACAAACCACAGGCATGGGGTTCTCCTGCAGAAGGTGCAGTTGAGATTTGACTCCCCCTTCTCTAAGACTTGTCTTGTGCTCAGGATGTGGGGAGAACTGAAGTCAACCAGTGTCAGCTGAAGTAAATCAGATTGAGACCTGTTTGATTGAAATCTCTGTCCCCGGAGTACCTGTGGCAGGTCCTGCTAAATATCCCTAAAGACAGTCATCTGCTTGCACTGCCTGTGAGTTAGCGCATTTTGATAAGCCTTGTGAGAAAGTACAGTAGTGGTCCTTAAGTGCAGTTTGATGTTCTGATTTATAGGGAGGCTGACTTGAAATCTGGTCAACTTCTTGTGCTAAAAATCAATAGGAAGCTGCCGGCTGCAGAGGATGTTGTGGTCAGCAGGCAGGAATCTTGAATTAAATTACGTAACCTGCCAGCTCAACCCTAAACTGAGACATTGTCTTAATACATTTAAAAAGAAGATTATTCCGGGCTTTTGAGAGAAAAAAAAAAGCAAAAGCCCATTTTTGAAATCCAGATGGGAATTGCAGGGAAAAGGGGTTAGTACAGGGGGAATACTGGGATAAAATCCTTTGCTGTATGCATATTGGAAGGTCTGGTTTGTGTGGGGCAAACCACCTGGTGGAACAGGTGATGCTGAATGCTTAAGCCTTTCTAGAATCACTCTTAAGTTTCTCTTGTACTGGGAAAACTCTTATTGGATCTTCAGAATTACTTACAAAATGTGGGAATGAGACTGGGCAGTGCATTGGCTTTTGCTTTGGCTGCTGCTTTCCTAGGATAACCTGGAATTTTTATATTCAACCTTAAGCTTACCTTCTCCCCATGCTGTGAGGTGTAGGCAGTGTTTTGCCTGGTGGTTTACCTGAGAATGTAGAGTGTGAGAATGGAGAGAGATTCTGGGGCCTTTCAGATTGAAGTGTTGAAACACCTAGAAATCCAGAGCTGAATGTAAATAATTCATGTGTGTACATTTATTCCTGTTCTTGAAAGGTGGGTTTTAAGATCCCATTTTTCCAGTTGTTTCTCCCATGGAGAAATCCATTCATTGGTGACATTGCTGTGGTAGGAGAGGCAGACCTGCATGTTTCAGCAAGTTCACAGGTGTGTGTTCTCTGGGCAGGTATTCAGAATAGTGAGTACTTGCCTGGGCAACCCTCCGGAGACCTTCTGCTGGGAGTTCCGGGATAAGGAGAAGAACTACCACAAATATGGCCCTGTGACACCAGTCCAGTTCTACAATGAGCACGTGAAGCCTTACTTCAACATGGAGGACAAGGTTGGGGGTGCTGAAAGGCAGTAGCTTCCTAAGACCTTTTTTTGCTGTTAAGTCACATTTTCCACTGTTGCAGGTGTACTGTCCACCCCCGTAACTGCACCATGTGGGATGGGTACCGCTCCCACAACTCAGAGGTGGCCCCTATGATTATTGTCCCCATTCTCCTGTTTGTGCTCTACCCTTTAATTAGCTGTGATCTTGCACTGCACTTCCACGATGCTTTTGTAATGATAAAATATGTAATGATCTCATCAGTCATAAAATGCCATTAGAGAGCAGGAATAATGTGCAAACCAGCTGTGCCACAGTTATGAGGTGAACTTCAACAAACAAAATGTTAAAAGAAACGGGTATTTCAGCCAAGTGGCCTGTGTGGTAATGGGACAGCTACCTGGGACAAAAGCAATTCTCTGAAATCCATCTAGATTCACTTCTTTAAGATTTCAGCTAAGTTGCACCTTGATTTATGACATCTTGGTTTTTGGCAGATTTGTCTAGTGAATGATCCTCGACCTCAGAATCCATACAACAGGCTGTATACAGTGGAGTACCTGGGTAACATGACAGGAGGAAGGAAAACGCTCTACAACAACCAGCCTGTTGATGTCTTGAAAAAATTAGCTGCAGCATCTATTAAAGATGGCGAGGTTTGTTTGGTGTCTCTTCGTGGCTGTCACGGTGCAACTCTTGTAATGTAAAATTCACAGTGCTGTGGCCTAGACATGACTCTTCCTTCTATTTGCAGGCTGTGTGGTTTGGCTGCGATGTTGCAAAGCACTTCTATGGCAAGCTGGGAATCAATGATGTGAATATGTAAGTAGAAAAAATCAAAACAATACAATTTGGGACACTTGGCTAGGAATTACAGTCCTTTAGCTGCTTAAGAAACTAATTTGTCCATATTTTGGATTAGATACCCCAAAAGAGTGTATTTAATTTGGCAGCAACAGAAATTTTTGTTTGCTAAAATCTGAATTCTTTAAAGATTTAACAAGGGGTTGTTAAATATTCATTTGAATTGTCTATCTAGTGAGAGGAACTTCTATGGGGCTCATGTTTTGCAGTTGTTCTGACACTACTAATAGTTGTATGCCTGTGCACTGGCTTTTGGGACAGTGCTGTCTACTGATTCCCTGATTTACTGTGAGAATCCTCCCTACATCCTTTTTGATACTGTTTATGTTTCTTTCTGATAGATTTAATCATGAGCTGGTGTTTGGTGTCTCCGTCAAAAACATGAACAAAGCGGAACGATTAATCTTTGGAGAATCGATGATGACCCATGCCATGGTCCTGACAGCTGTCACCGAGAAGGTAGTCTCTGTCCTGAAGTTCTGATGTTTGCACAGATGTATTTGAATATTCTGGCGGCTTGTTGATGTGCTCTGGGCTCCTTCACAGTCTGTAAGCTGTTCTGCTAGAGTTCATGTGCTGTGACACCCTGGTGCACAAGGCCTAGGTTGTCTATTCTCCCTGTAGTGTTTGTGTCTGAGTGTTCAGAACTATAAATATTTAACAAGAAAGGAGGAATTTTAGACAAGTCAAGGGCTTTTCTTCTGCCAACAAACTTTTACTGGAGAAAGGGAAAAGAAAGCTGCTTATTTTTAAGATACCAGAAAACCTGGTAACTGATTTTTAAAATACATATTCTGATGCATCTTGCTGAGCAAGAAATGTAGTATGACAGTGTTTCCCACCCTATCCCACTGCATGGTTACTCCAGTCTATGCTTTACAGTGTGAAGCTCCTGTTAAAATGCCAGTAGGAGGCACTTTGTCAGTCTTAACCTCCTGCAACTCATTGGCATGTGACCTCTCTGACCTATGCAATTAGGGAAGGAAAATGGTGTCCAAAATAGCTCTGTGGCAGACAGTAGGCTGAGATGAATCCACAACTGAATCTGTTCCTGGCAGTATAACAAAGCACACATGAAGTAAAAAGAACCATGTGAAAATTTACAACTCGGGGTTATCTGCAATGTTGATGTTTTCCATTTATTTCCAGAAGTTGTCATTATTAAAGTTTCTTTGAAGTGATCTCTTCCTGTCCAGCGTGACCTTGGCTGGTGAAATAAGAGCTTGCATATAAGTGAAAATGTTTGCTTGAGCTCTGGAGTTTGAGGACTTGAGATAGGACCCTTATCATAGGAATTTTTCTGAATTACTTTTTACAACTCGATATCTTTTTTCCTGTTTTGTGTTCCGAGCTTGTAACAATTCTGTTTTGTGTATCAGACTACATGAATGCATCTTTAAAAATTTCATTGGTTTTAGTTAGATATTTAAAATTACACTTTTCTAGTGTGTAAAACATCTTTATTCATGGCTGTGTATATTTGTACTGATTGTAGCCAATTACTGGCTGGACTTCACTGGCAGCTATAGTCTATGGTCTCTATTTTTAAATTCATACTTTCACATGCCTGAATGTATAATTGCATACAATGTGATCAAATGTGACCTGATTTCTTAAAGAAAAGGATGTGTAAGATCAGTATATGATGGATGGTATCTCTAAAATCAAAAGGTCATTTAAAAGAAATTATCTTAGAACAAGTTCAGCATTTAGAGGCTTTTCCACATTCAAAATGGACTAAGTTGTTTCTACTTTTTGTTTGAACATGTTGTCTTATATTAAACCTTAATCTAAAGGAGGTTTGATAAACTGAGTTGTAAAATGTAATACTTTGGATTTACCTACTTTATAAAAAGGCTTTGAAGATTTAAAAAAATCCTATTACAGTTTTACAACATAAAAAATTGATGTGGATTAAATGTACCTTTTGGTTAAACTTAATGTACATAAATGTGTTTATCCCAGTTTCAGTCTGATAGCATCAAGAGTTGACTTATCCTTAGTCTTGAGTGTCTCGTTTTAAGGACTGTCCTACTTTTTTAAAGTGAGAATAGAAGCAATGCAACAATATTCCATTGAATATTAAAAAGGGATTTGTGGGACATTTTCCAGGTTAGTTTTGTGTTAAAAATATGGTAGGGAAAGAATAACATCTTTGGTTCCCCAAGGGACCTGCTGTTTCCTCATGAGAAGCTGCTGGAAGGAAGCAACAGTTCACTGTGGCACAGCAAACCTGTGATGCTGTGTTCAGTGCTTTTATGTACTCAGTAGATCTGAAACAGATTTCAGCTACGCACAGTGCAGGCTAGAACACGGCACGCTTCTGAGCAGGAACTCACTTGTACTTCATGCTCCTTACAAGCCATGTATAACCTTCAAAGTGCCCAACTTGGAGCTTTCAGCTAGATTCAACTGTTTGCATTTGCTCTTACTAGTGTTGTTTTACTACAATTGCTTTGTTCCTCTGCTGGCTTTTACAGTAACAGCTTCGTTGTCCTTGTTGCTTTCCTCTGATTCCTAGTTCATGCAAACTGTGCATTCTGCATCTCAGCCTGGTAGGTGATATGGAAGGCTGCTTAAATGCTGCCAGTCAGTTAAGTCCAAACTCAAATTTAGTTTTGTGGTTGAAATAAATATTACAGGGTCTCCATTTGACCATCATCTTATTTTATGTAAGTGGGTAGATGGGTATTTTAAAAAAATTAAGTTTTTCCAACCATTAGCAAGAAACCATTGCCTGAAACTTGCCAGTGGCTGTAGACTTCTGGGAGTGGAGCTCTGTGGTTTGCTGGTGCTGGATTTAGACTTGGAAGGGCTGGCTGCTATGAACTCACATGGTCCTTCACTACTGAACAGCCATTGACTTGTTTTGTCACAGGATGGGCAAGAGGATGCATTTGAAAAATGGAGAGTGGAAAACTCCTGGGGTGAAGACCGTGGTAATAAAGGTAAAGTAATTTATAGTCCTGAAAACAAAGCTGAACTTAGTGTTTGGAAAAAAAGGAGATGGAAGGGGTGTGTGCTGTGTGTCCTTCACCAAGACATGCATGAAACAAGCCTGCAAACAGCATGTGGATCACTGAGTTACGGCACTCTATTCCTGGAAGACAAACATTCTTCACTTAAATGTGATTTATGTTTAAGTAAATGAAATGTCAACGCTGAATGGAGAAGCAGGAAATGCCACTGGATAAACCTGACACTGGTTGCAAGTTCAACTGTAGAAGCAACTGCATTTTTGGGAAGTGGCCATAAGTGATTGATGCTGATGCTTTTTGACAGACAGGGTATTGTGGTCCCAAGGGCAGGAGGGCAAAGTTGACAGAAGCACCTCTGAGGCTAGAACTGGAACTCTGAATATAGCTTAATCATATGGGACATACATTGTTTTTACACTGCAGCTTTTGACAATCCAGTAACAAAACTGTTTATATTGTGCATGGAAGACATGGGAAGATACTGTAGACTTCAGATAAAGTTCATATTTTATCAAAGCTTAAATATTTCATTATAACTTTCAGGTTGATTAGTTTATTGCTGTAAAGCTGATTATTTTTCCTAAGCACTGTAGACCAGTTTGCTGTTGATCACAATTAAATTGCCAGCTATTATCCCTACCAAAAGAAACCCAGCAGCTGTAGAGTTTGACAAGTGTGACAGGGGAGAGCAGATCCTGTGCTATTGTGTTTTGGAGCAAAGAATTGAGCAACAAAAGTCTGAAAAATCTGGTAGTATTCATCTGAAAATGTGGAGGTAGTTCTCTTATGAGATACCAAGAATTCCCGTGGGCATGTAAACTGATCTTTTAATAAAGGGACAGTAGATAAAAAATGCTTCACAGTATCAGATAGGATCACTTCCAAGAACTGCACTGTATAGAAAAGCTTTCTCCTAGTATTGAAAGGAGAAATAAAGACTTAACTTGCAATACTTTTAAATGTACTAAAGATTTTGGTAACAGAGCTAAGCTTGAATCTGTACACTCCAGCTAGCTCATCTTTGGGACCTCTTGCTGGCTGTGGCTGGTATTACTTAAATAATCTTCCCGAGTCACATGTGAAATCTAAGTGGTTTATATTTTCTTTTAAAGCACTGTTTATCAATCACTGCAAGCTTTTACTTGATGATTTTCTAAATGAAGAAATGAGGGTATGGCTGGTTCCAGCTTGTGCTGTGAACAGCTGCAATGTAAACTATTCTAGCTCCAACACCTGTCTGCTAAAAATATTTAAAATCATAACTCTGATTGCCTTTCTGAAGCCATGCTGAAAATGCGACCTGTGCCATCCTTGCAGTGTTCCTCTCTGGTGTGACAAGCACTAACACCACCAAAACCCTGCACAGTTAACGTGCCGTTCTGCTCGTGCCAGGTTGTCTGCCTGAACTTGCTTTCCTGTTGATGACTGTCTCAGCCTGCACTATTGTTCCTTCAGAGGGGATTTGTTAGGGCTGTAGCAGGGTGGGTGTGCCAGCCTGGCATGGCCCACGGGCAGGCACCAGGGACAGAGTGGTGAGTCACAGCCGAGCGGTGCTTTAGGAAATTGCTTCTAGTTGCTTCCCTGCTCAGCCTGGGAATGACTGGGGGTGCTGTGAGGTTTGGGTGCCAGCTCTGACCTCCCCTGGCCCTCAGGGAGCGGGGCTGATGGTGTGAGTATTTCTACTTTGCTCTGCCAAGGCCTGCAGTCAGTCAGCTTTTCCAAAATAGAGTGGAGGGAAACTCCATGATTTTTGTCCTGTCCTATCTGAGGCAGGCTGGATGTGGACTCAGCCATGGCATAAGCTCATGATGAGCATGCCAAGCCAGACTTCACTGTGTCCCGGGCCATACCACAATAGTCACTGCTGACCACATTTTTCTGTTGCACATTAATCCCAAATGTTGTGCTTACAAGATTTGGTGTGGCTGGTATTTCCCAGGATATCAGGGTTTTCTTCTGGGAATAGGCTATTTCCCCAAAACTCAGTTTTAGGATGTGGTCTTGATTCATCAACAGCTAACTAAAACATACAATATTTTTGGAACATTGTCTTAATTTATGTTCTGGCCCCTTGGTCTTGCAGTAGTGTCTGTTCTGAATTAGCTGTATACATTCACGCAAAGTATTCCAATAAAAATCTTTAGTCTTGACAAAACAATGAAACTATGATGTTCAGCCTTCAAGGCTCATCAGTGTGACAGTAGCAAAATGTACTTTGGAATGTTGGTTTAAGCAAAGAAGCTAAATCAATGAAGTAACATCAAGATGTTTCTTTTCAAATACAAACTAACTATTGAGTGCCTTTATAATAGAATATAAAATGCAAACATACCTGGTTAGTTGTGTTCTTATTATCAGAACACTTAGGTTTGAGAGACTCCAGTTACTTCGTTTGTGATGTTAGATGCTACTAGTGTTAGAGGAATGTTTCCAGGAAGGAAGTGCCTTACTCAGCTTGCTTTACAGCTGCTCTGTGTGGACTTTGGTTAGTACTCCAGCCATTCTGCAGTTAATAGGTGTCTGTCAGCAGCTTTGCTAGCCATATATGCTGCTTGGCCAAGGTTCAGAGTTCCTTATTGGAGCTGGAGAAAGACTGGGCTCAGTTTCAGGATACTGGTTATTGCTCCCAAACCACAGTGCAGCAGACTGACACTGCTAGTAGAAGTTGTACCTGTTGAGCTGTGGCTGAAGAGCAGCAGTTCTCTGCTGGTGTTACTGGGCTGTGGTCGATCCGTGTGGAGAGCTGCATGTATGTCTTGTCTGTCTTCAATTTGAGCATGCAATCCAAAATTAACAAAAACTACAGCAACTAGAAATTTCAGTTTTTAAGTTAGATATAACACGAACCCAGTTACCTGGTCTTTACTTGTTTGCCAGCTTTGTAAGCTTAACTTGCTACTTGGTTTGCAGTAACAGTTTATCCTCCTTAGACATTATCTCTTTTCCAAATACGGATTCACTTTTCAAGAATGAGTTCTAGAGCTACTTCAGAGGAGCTAGTTGTTGCTTTGAAAAATAGTAGACCCAGTGTGACTGGAATAAACCCTGCCTATACCTTGTATGCCTGCATCGTGTGCATGCCATCTGCGAACTTTTCTGGGTGAGTCACTATCACTTCTCTGTGGGGTACTGGTAGAGGCCATGGTCTCTGGAAATTCTTGCTCACTGTCTATAATTTATTTTGGTTAGGGAGTTGTCCGGAAAAGCGCCTTGACAGAAAATCCCATCAGAACTCGGAAGCTTGACCCTGTCTCAGATTACTTTTTTCAGGGAGGTGAATCCCAGAATGGTTTTCTTAGTTATGACCAAACAACCCACTGCTGAGCTGCGGGCAATTGGACATATCCTCCAGAGTCTGTTCTCTGACATTAGAAGAGGTAATTTCACAGGGTTTCTCCCCTTCCTCCTGCCCTGCTTTTTTTGCTCTTCCAGTACTAGCTGGTGTAGGAGGGTGAGGATTTGTAGTCTGTCCTAGCTCTCCTGCTATGCCACTGAGTCTGGCAGTGATTTATTTTTTTATCTTATCAGCCTTGTTAAGAAATTGGGAAGCTGTGCTTGGAGAACTCCAGTGCAGAGAACCAGAATCCACATCAGTAAAGAGGCAGCCAAGAATGATGTTAAACTTGGCACATCCCAGTTGAGGCCCAGTTGGGTGTGGGCGATGCAAGTAAGCCCCAACTCTGTTATTTCTTGGACAGAATGATAAAGGGTACAGCCTGCAACAAAACACCAGAGACTAGACTTTGAGTCATTAAAAAACAAGCAAACAAATGACTTCCTGTTGGTAGGAAATGGAAGTGTTTTTTCACATGGGGTCCCTCTTGCTTTTCTCTGAGTACAGTCTAAGGTGCCAGATAACACCTCTTTCCCCAGACTTGCACGGTGCAGGACTGGAAAGTCTGTGACTCCTGGTTTGGGTGTTGTGGGATGAAGTTATTTATATGCTCAGAGTCCACAAAGTGGGCAGAACTGAATTCTTGTGGTAGTGCTTGTGCTGGAGAAAGGTGAGCCCTGGGAACAGCTTAGCGTTGCCTCTCCTAAATATTTAGTCATTGCATTCATATCTGTTGTAAAAGTGTTTCTTGGAATCCCATCTGTTTTTCCTCAAGGAACAAACATAGCTGCTGACAAACATTACTTGTTTTTTGAGGTAAAAAAAGTCACTTCCCAGGCAAGTATTTCCTTTCTGTGTTGTATTGGCACTTTGTCAGCCATATAGGCAAATTTAATTATTCTGCTTACTCTTTTGTTCTGGAGACACAGTACATTGTTATGTAACTTTGAACCTGGCTTACCCTATTGGATATCTTTATTTAAAAGCAAGCAAGAGGGGAACACTAAATCACATTATCACATCCATTTGATAGGGGTCCGTATGCTTGTTTTGGCATGAAAAATGTTCCTTGTGATACATGTCCAGCTAGAAGCCAGCTCCCTTCTGGCTTTTTTAATCTCTTGTACTGGTGGTTGCATACATACTCTTCTGCATGAAGACATTTTAAGGATTTAACTGCAGACATTTAGTGTCTATATAGTCCCATAAGTACACTACAGCAGAAAGGCTCTGTTAATTTCTCCTCCCTATGGAGGAGTTACAGCACAGGCACTAAGTGGCTTGTAGGTCCTTTGAGAACTTGCAAGGGCTGTATTTTCAGGTGCCCGAATCCTAGGTTATGCAATAACTTGCACTCCATTCATCTGACTGACCTTTCCCTGGTCAGCTTGTCAGTTTTAAAATGCTGCATGTTCAGGTTTTCCTTTGGGTAATTTAGGAGCCTGGTCCACATTTCTCTACACAGAGGAGTATACTTTTGTAGTCGGGTGCTGTTTTGTATGATGATGCTGTTCCAAATTTTTCCATATTTTGGTCTTAACATACAAATGGTTCAAGTAGAGGCAATAGATTAATTACCTGAGGTAAAACTCCATTGTGTATCCTGCCCAGAAATGCAATAAACTTTGCAGTTTCTTTTTCACTTCTGCTTGTTACCTGGAGGGAATGCAGAGCTCAGGGTTGCCTTAGGCTCTTGAGTATTGCTGCGTATAAGGTATGTGTATCCTTTTAATGAAGAAATTGATAATGGCTTTCATTGTGACACTGGGCACAGGCCTTCTCAAAGAGCGACCTTACTTATTTGCATGTTCTGAAGTCCTGCTTGACGTTTCCTTCTTGTTCAGACACTGCGATCCTAATCAGCACTGTCAAGCTTTGAGATACAGGATGTCAGAAGCAGAGTTCATTATCCTCTCAGGGTGCAATTACTTGTTGGCTCTTGGGAGTGAGAGGTTTTTGTGTGTCCCAAGAACTCATATCCTGGAGAGAGAATAATCAAGGCAGCTCCCTTTGGCAGTGTTTCCAAAATGGCTTCTAGCTTGGATTGCAATTGATAGGGTTTTTAATTTATGGGAATTATCTGATCTCTTGCTTTAGAAACAAGATGGTGTAGATAGATGCATTTATTGTCCATATTCTTTGGACATTTTCTTGTTTCATTTGATTGTGTGATGATACAGTATAAGGACATGAGGAACTTTATTACATAAAGCTTTCTCATCTGTCTTCTAAATGCTTTCTCCCAGCCACTCTTATTTTCAGTTCACCTTGAATAGTTTGTTTCCAATGGTAGCTTTCTGCTAAAACCTGTCATACTCAAAATGTGACCTTCCCCCCTCCCCAGTTCAAAGGCTCTTCACTGAAATGCTCTGTAAATATTAGATTAAGGGAGAAAATTAAGATTTAGTTAATCCAAAGTGTGATTTATTATTGAGGCTTTGTTTGAGGAGAGCAGATGACCTCCTCTTACTGCAAGAACTAAACAAGAAGTTTTCTTAAGCCAAAGATGGTTTGGATATTCACCTGGAAAACTTCCCTTTTCTTAAAATCCTGAAAACTTCTAAAGCCAGAGACTCAGATCATTTTACATTCTGTCTTAAATGCCTGGTTTTTAAGGCATTCTAATTCACTTGAGTATTCTTAATGCCTGTTTTAACAGAGGAAGCACAAATGATTAATATTCCGGGTCTTGTTTTTCCTGGGAGGCTTCTTGCTTGGCCTTTCAGTGCACATGAAGTACATCCAGTTAGCCTATATGTTAATTTATTTGATTTTTTTCTTGAGATATGAAGTATGTCTAGGTCCTGTTTGTAATGCATCATTCATAGGTGAAATGTGTATATGTGACTGCTTCCCTGTATTGATGATGGTTCTATTTTTGTCTCCAGGTTACCTGATCATGACTGATGACTGGTTTTCTGAGTATGTGTATGAAGTTGTGGTGGATAAGAAGCATGTACCAGAAGACATCTTGGCAGTGATGCAGCAGGAACCAATCGTTTTGCCAGCCTGGGACCCTATGGGGGCTTTAGCCAAGTGAACTACAGAATATTTGCCTCCTAATGGTCAACCAGAAGTAGATGCAATAGAGAATTCCCTGTTGGAAGCCATAGCCAAATGATAATGTGACCATTCAACATGGTCCATATTCTTGAAATGTAAGTTAAGGATCTTTGGGAAATAGCGCTTTACTGACCTGGGTGAATAAAACTCTCAGGCTGTTCAGCAAAACTAAAAAGGGAAAGGAAAAAAACTCATAATGAAAAGGTAAAATGAAAGTGCTGTCAATGGCAGTATGATTTTTCCTTAAAATTTTAATAAATATCAGCATAGTAACTTAATAGAATTATTTTGATCAGTGTTTTCCCTAGAAAAGATGCCATAAAAGGCCCTTTAGAATTAGCAGTTAAGTGATTGTTAGAACAAATAAACTGAGATACTTCTAAATTAACCATCCATGGTCTGACTTGTACCATAAAAGAATACCCTAAATTTTTTTGGTTTTCCATTTTTAGTTTTGCTGAAGTTTTGGAGGGGACATAAGAATTGAAACTGCTAAAAATTTCCTCTAGAAAATTTTCTCTTCCAGCAGACTTGGGGGGGGGGGAAAGATGTTGCTT